CATTTAATTATTGCTATTATACATAGGAAAGCAACTCGGGCGTGCCGTTACGACAATTTCTTTACTTCGTCTTTAATCAGTTATTATCGCTGTTGCCCAGTTATTGTAATTCATTGTTATTACCGATTATCCCATCACCGTTATTCAGTTATTATCCACACGCGGATATTATACGATTGTCAATCAGGTATTATTATCAATTTATTATTCGAGACTTTTATTATATAGTTGCTTTCCTATATGTAATAGCAATAATTATAACCAAATAAATTAAATAATAACCAAATTAAGAAGTAATAATACTTGAATATTAAATGTTATAATGTAATAATAATATCTGCTCGACAATCGTGTGATAATATCCGTGAAAAAGACAAGACTGATGAGAGATGATCTAGCTTTGCGATAATATCGCCGCTAGTTCGTTTCGTGCCTACGTCGCGCATCCCGCTCATCAGTGGTGAGACAAGAATAGAGCGATTGGACATCTGTCCTTTTCTAACTTACTATCATTATGGACGGGTACACGAGCATGAACTAGGCGCATTTTATCGTTACCATCGCGAAAATGCGTCTAGCGAACATAGGAAAGGCGCATTTTGTTAAGATGGCGTCTCGAAAATGTGCCTAGCCATTGAAATCAGGCTAGGCTATTATTCTGTCACGTAGGATTCACACCGCGTCCGATGTCCGACGTCTGATATCCAGTAAAAGAATAGCTTTCTAATAGAGAATTTAATTTTACATTAGAAAGCTGTTCTCTTATTGGACGTCGGATATCGGACGCGATGTGAATCCTACATTACGGTTAAGGCCATCACACATAAAATTCCGTAAGAACTTAAATCGTAAGCGTAAGAAAATCGACCAATCCCAATCAAGTATTCGGTTGTTCGTAATAATGGAGGGGTTACGAAGAGCCGAGTGCTCGATTGGGATTGGTCGATTTCTTTACGCTTACGTTTTAAGTTCTTACGGAATTTTGTGTGTGATGGCTTTTACGGTTAAAAATTTTCTACGTGTAAAGGCCCTTACTCGTGACTGGAAAATACAAATTTATTCTTCCGAAATGTAGAATTTAAAGTTACCATATCGTGACAAAATAAAAAATCAATCAGCAGACTTGGAGATAACTTGTCAATCGTACTTCTGTGTGTGAAATAACTTTCCGAAATAACTTACGATTGGCTATATTTTGATTCGGACAAACTACACTAGATGACGCTGCCGCAGTCGTGACTTCATCTTGGTCAATCGAATCTATCTCGATTGTTGAATCTTCATTGCCGGCCGCGTCTCTTCGTTCTTCATGGTTTCTCGATCGCGGGTAGCGATCATGGCTGCGTAGGAAATTGTGAAAAAAAACGAACGATCCGAATAACATCGGCTGTTTTTCAATTTAATTCGAGATCCGTTTTTGACACAGTTAGCAAAAATGACGGCGATACCTGGCACGATGGCGTTTGACGAATACGGCCGGCCTTTCATCATCATTCGTAACCAAGAGAAGCAGCAACGCCTCACCGGTCACGATGCGATCAAGGTGAGGTCACACCGACAGTTTCGACCGCATATCTTTCATCGTGCGATTCTTACGAATCGTATTACTTCACGTGAATACCAAATAACGCACACGTAGCGTAACGTACGCTTTCTCGGTCTCTCGTCCGTTCATTTTGTACTTCTCCAATGGCTGACCACGTGTAATTTCAATTCAATGGCGGCGTTTAGGATTCGGCGATGAGTTGAAAGATTCATGATAAAGTTCGAGAAGAAAAAATGACTTCTCGGTGTAATGTAGATCGAAACCTAGACCGAATTCTGAAAGAAATATTTGATTCTTGTCACTTGAATGGGTATCTCTTTGGCGAATTCGCGATTCAGAATCGTAATTTATGACCATATAAGGCAATCTTTATGGCTGCACGCATTGCGGCAAATACTGTGATGGAATTATTTGTATTATCGGTTATTAGTTTTATTACCATGTATCTATGCCTTTTTGCCGTATAGATTGCAAGAGAAGCGATTCAAATATTATTCAGAAATTATTTTATTTCTCACACAAATCAAACGAGTATAAGATATTGAATGAAATTACTAGTATCTCATCATCAAGTTTTATACAAGTACTTTGATTGCAGTCACATATTTTGGCAGCTCGTAATGTGGCCAATATTCTCAGAACATCCCTGGGCCCTAAAGGTTTGGACAAGTTGATGGTGAGTTCTGATGGGGATGTCACTGTAACCAATGACGGTGCTACAATCCTAAAAAATATGGATGTAGACCATGAGATTGCCAAGTTGATGGTTCAGTTGTCGCAATCCCAAGATGATGAAATTGGCGATGGCACTACTGGAGTAGTGGTTTTAGCCGGTGCACTCTTGGAGCAAGCTGAACAACTGTTGGATAAAGGAATCCACCCAATCAGGATAGCAGATGGCTTTGAATTGGCTGCCAGATGCGCCACAGAACATCTCAAGACAATTGTAGATAGTTTTAAAGGGACGCCCGATAATCTGGAGCCTTACATCGATATTGCTATGACAACACTTGGCTCAAAAATGTGCGAAACATTAGTTTTTCAAGAATTTTATGCATCGTCTATTTTTTTTGCCTTTCTTTCTGATGATTTTCCTTTATTTTATAGCATTAACAAGTATCACAGACAAATGGCAGAAATCGCAGTACAAGCAGTATTAGCAGTTATGGATCCTGTCGAGCGCGATGTTAACTTCGAGTTGATCAAGATAGAAGGAAAAGTTGGCGGTAGGTTGGAAGATACCGTCTTGGTGCGTGGTGTTGTCATCGACAAGGATTTCAGTCATCCTCAGATGCCAAAGGTAAACGTTCGCACTGCGGACATTCGTTTTAGTTACTTCTAACATGTTTATATAATAATTGTAGAGGCTGGAGGAAGTGAAATTGGCCATTCTGACATGTCCGTTCGAACCGCCGAAACCCAAAACGAAGCACAAGTTGGACGTTACGTCGGTCGACGATTACCGAGCGTTGCGCGATTACGAGCACGAGAAGTTTACGGAAATGGTGAAGCAGGTCAAAGAAGCTGGTGCAACGTTGGCTATTTGTCAATGGGGATTCGACGATGAAGCCAATCACCTCCTGCTGCAGAACAACTTACCGGCCGTAAGATGGGTTGGCGGCCCGGAAATTGAAGTTAGTGTGTATTTTAACATGTGCTTTAACTTTTGTAATTCTTCACGTTCTTCCTAATGATGACAGACAATTACAGAGGAGGTGCGAGGGCGCGAACAACTGGTTTGTCTCGACATTGACAGTGTTTATTTTTCTTTCGCAAGTTTAACGCTAACTTGCGAAAGGAATGGAAGTATTTTCGAAGTCGGGTCGCCAGTAATTTGACTCTCGCGGTGGCTCCAATGATACAAAGATTATGAGATCTGAAGGAACTTTGATGCTATTAATTGCGTTAAGGATCTTGCGTTATATTAAAGCAACTAAGACTCGCTTTTCTTTCAGTTAATCGCCATTGCGACCGGTGGCCGCATTGTGCCGCGCTTCGAAGAATTAACGCCGGAGAAACTCGGTCATGCTGGCGTCGTTAGGGAATTAACGTTTGGTACGACGAAGGATCGAATGTTGGTGATCGAAGAATGCAAAAATTCACGCGCCGTCACGATCTTTATTCGCGGTGGCAACAAAATGGTAATTACGACCACTAATAATAATAATATGTAATGTTTACGCAAGGAGAATTTCAGTTGTACTGTTTGCAGTGTACAAGACTGACCAGACACCTTGCAATACTGTAATGCATCGCGATTATTAGAAATGTGTGCGCGTCTTACGCACACACATTTTTCCGTACGATGATACTCATCGAACTGAATCTTTTTGCGATGCGACATTTATTCACTCCGTTATTTCAACAAATTTAGATTTCTCAGTGGAATATGTATCATAATTATATCATTAATATCCTTTTTTTTCCTGTGTTTACAGATCATCGAAGAGGCCAAGCGATCGATACACGACGCACTGTGCACCGTGCGTAACGTTGTCAAGGACAATAAAATCCTGTACGGCGGAGGCGCGGCTGAAATATCTTGTGCGTTGGCTTGCGCGGCACAGGCTGATAAAATCAGTACTCTAGAGCAGTACGCCTTTCGTGCCTTCGCCGAAGCTTTGGAGAGCGTCCCTATGGCGCTCGCGGAAAACGCTGGCCTCTCCCCGGTGGATACTATTGCGGAAATCAAGGCGCGTCAATTGTTCGAAAGGAATCCCACTCTCGGTATCGATTGCTTAAACCGAGGCACATCGAGTACGTACTAATTTTCATGCGTGTGTCATGCATTGCGTGCATAGAAATTATCACGAATTATATTGCAGATATGAAGAGGCAGAATGTCATCGAAACACTCACGAGCAAGACTCAGCAAATTTTATTAGCCACGCAGTTGGTTAAAATGATTCTGAAAATTGACGATATACGGTCGCCCAGTGATATTGGCGACGCGTCCTAATGAGCTAAACGAGCCATGTAATTCTCAATATCATTACATATGTTTATTATATTGAGCAATTTGTTTCAATTCTCTCCACGTATTGTATTCGCATTTCTAACACCTAATCTCTTATATTTGATGGTTGATTCGAATGAATTTGACCCAAAATTATATTATTTCACTTGATCTATTGTAATCTAATTTGATAACTTATAAAAAGGATACATTTTGTGATATATAAGATATATTTGATTTTCTTTGTATATCTTGATATACCCAAACAAATCTGTGTTTCTTTCGTATCCCATTCTCGTCTATTCCACTATATATGTACTGTACGCAAAAAAATTATATTTGCTTTAATTATTTTGCCTTTGTATTATTCGGCATGCGTATATTTACAATATATAAGTAAATAAATAAATAAATATATTTAACGTATATATGCTGATAGAAAAATAGAATAAGAAGTATCATTAACGGCTTTATTCTCTCATTGTAGGAACAAATAAATATGTCACATCGAGTCAAGGTGTAGTTGTGTAAATATATTCTGTCTATATCTCTCGAGGAAGGGTATCTCTTCGGATACCATTCTATGGAATGTGTTTGTAATGCGCAAAATCGATCGCAGACCGAACGAAATAACAAACGGATGTCGTTACAATCTATTCGTAAAATGGCACAAAATACACAATTGCATGTACATACTTATAAATTAGAATGTAACAACAATATATACCTCTGTTTCTTTCGGTCGCCTTTGTTTTCTCTTCATTCTTTCGTCGGTCCGATATCGAACTCAGACGTTATCAATAGCTCTTTCTCTTTCGTATCACAAAATATACGATCTATTCCAACGTAACTTTATATCATTTCTTTCTCTTACATGCCTTTTGTTTTTACATATTAATTACATCCTCACCAAGTTTTTTTTTATTATGTATACCAAGTTCTTACAGGGATTTGCGCTACAGTATAGACAGCTGACAGTTGGATAGATCGACAGTTTAGGTTTAGGTTAGCATCAGTTTAGGTTTAGGTTAGCATCAGTTTGTTTTAATGTTAATTTGTTACTGTATTTAATATAATAAGAATTGTTTTGTACACATATGCGTAGACACGCGTGATTTTCAATTTTGGCCGAAGAAAAAACGAATACATTCCGATTTGATCGGAGGAAAAATAAAGTTGCGGATATATGTGTATATATCCATGAGGGTTCGCAATAGAAATATATAAAATGTTTCAACAATGATTAAAATGATTAAGATGCGATGAAAAGTTGTGATTGCTTTATCCGAATAGATATTGTGGCAATTTTCTTTTTTATCTTTTTACTCCATTTATCTCGATAAATGGAATCTGATACAAAACATGTTGCGAAAATCCTTGTAGGAGAACTTTGTACTTGTACCGCCTTTTCCTTTCCTTTTCCTCTTCCCTCTCTCTCTCTCTCTCTCTCTCTCTCTCTCTCTCTCTCTCTCTCTCTCTCTCTCTCTCT